GTTTGCTCAAGAGGTCCGCCACCCGCGAAGCGACTACAGCACCCGCCTCCACTTTGGCCGAGCGCGCTGCTATTCGCATGGCCAACGCACCAGCAGCGTCGGATTACATGGACCTTCGCTTCCTTCGTCCAACCTCCAACATCTGCGAGAGATTTTTTTCGGTTGTGAAGCATGCCTTGTCGGACAACCGCAGTCGAATTTTGCCAAAAAATATTGAGGCTCAAATGTTTCTGCATTTTAATGCAGAATTCTGGACCGCTGAAGACATTCGCGATTTGACGGACGCCGAAGTTGAAGACTAAGTCACATTTTGTTTGCTTGTACGAGTTGGAATAATTCGAATAATTCATTTTTCATTTCCTGTCAAAGAATAACTTATTCTTGTCCTTGTCACCTTTGAATGAATACTGAATATCATTTTGGTCATCCCTGATTGTGACAGACCTGGTGATCATCCAGCATGAAATTGTGTGCCTCATGTCGCCCATTTCCTCTTGACGCTGACATCGTGTCTGCTTGTATCAGTGGTGGTTGGAACATCCGAGTCGTCTACTAGCCGCCCAACTCGCCTGACCTCAATCTTGGATCCGTGCCATCCAGTGAATCCAGGAGAAGAAGCACTCGCGGCGTGTCGACGATATCGTTGCTGCAACGGTGGTTGCGTGGCTCGAAGTTGACAAGGAAACGTTGAACGCCAAATTTTTGATGGTACAAACGTGATGCAAGAAGTGATTCGAGCCTCAGGTAACAACAACTACCGTATTCCGCATGTGAGGAAGGCTGCGCTTTCCCGCCAAGGCGTGCTGCCTGAAGTGGTTGTGGCGGAGAAGGACGTCATCGAGTCAAGGCTTAGGCTTCTTCTGAGTGCTACTGATGTCGAAGCTAAGGTGATCGAACTTTCTGTTGAAGTGGCTAACTGGTTGGAGATGGGTGACATTTGCTCACAACTGGAGCAACTCGTTGTCGTGAATGAAGACGACGAAATCGACATGCTCGAACTCTTGCAATTAAACATTGAAGAATAAATATCTTTAACTTAGTAGGTGATTTTTATTCTTGGCATTATTGCACTGACCACCAAAGTGGTACAGTACTACGTAGTCGTGCAAATATTATCGAATAGTACCCTTTTACGAACGGTTTGAGCCGTTTTACGAACTCTTTTGTCCAGATATGCATAGAAATCACGAACTGAAAGAGTTCGTAAGTGTTCGTGATTGGTCACTATCAAAGTAGTATCACGGATAGTACCTTGCTTTTTGTATACTGGACAAGTATTCAAAAAATAGTACCAATTTACGAACTCTTACGAACTAATTTATCCGGATGTATTCGACGCAGTAAAAAACACACAACGCATCCATCAATGACGCGGCTGGTGATGCCACCTCGGAGCTGGTATCGCTGATGCCAAGTCGGCTAAATCAAGGTGTGGCATTGACAGTGGTGCATCTGCTGCGTTGGCCGCGGGCCTGCCAGACGCTCAAAGGACCGGAGTGGTCGACCAAGTGACATCGCGGACGCCGCCGACATGACCGCGGCGATATCCAGCCATCGGCAGCGGTATGTTGTTGAGCCAAGCATTACAAATCATGTTCGTCACGGAAACCAGTGGAGGACTACCAAAATTGCCTCAGAGTGCGTTCTCAGACGTGTTTTTATTCAAGTCTGAGAGCCTCCTCAGACTGAAATGTAAGCATGAATTTATTTTGCAAGCTCACCAAAAATATACTTAGATTTTACATTCAATAGAGCCTTTTCGTTGGTTTTTATTTGCTCATCCCATATTTGTCATGCGTGTGGTTACCAGCGTGCTACTGCTCTACTGCCCACCGGAGTCGACGAAACGACGCCGCATCATACGACTCTTGCTCTTGTGTCGTATCAGATCTTTGCTTCGTGAACTCAACCTTCTACATTCATTGGCCCTCTTAGACGACCAGCTTGACAGTCCTTGGTACAAGATGTATTAGAGTCGTCACACGACGCCGTTCATCGCAGCGGTTTCAATTCCACCCGACACCTTCGACAACCTGCTTGCCGTTTTCAGTCGGTACTACACAGTTCAGTCTGGCTTTGGCCGTCGTGGCCGTCCTGCCCGGGTACAGTTCAAACACTGCGTGCTTGCAATGGTGTTGCATTTCTACACCCATGCGACCGAAGCAAAGACAATCTGTGAGTTATTCGCAGTCCCACCCGCGACGTACAGTATGCCCGGGTTTTGGCAAAAGCTGAAAAAGCGTTGTCCCTTGCGTTGAAGGCGATGCCCGACGCAGCGATATGTTGGCCGACGTTTGATCAGCAAGTGGTTTGGGCTCAGGCAACGGAAGCCCGTGAGCCGCTTGTTACGGGAGTTTTTGCATTCGTGGATGGGAAAAATCTCCCTGTTCGGGAGCCGTCGTCGTCGGATTTACAAAATGCTCAGTACAATGGTATCATTATATATATATATATATATATATATATATATATATATATATATATATATCTTAAATATTATGTTAATAAAATTCCTATTAGGTTGGCTACATTCCGTCTTCGTGACGGGTGTATTATGCTACAGTGTTGACGGCACAATGATCTGGGGACGCCACAATTGTCCAGGGTCCTGGAATGATGGGGAGATGAGTCGCGGCCTACAGGACCGACTTGTAGACCCCAGATTTTGTGCTCCAGGAATGAAAGTCGCATCCGATTCCGCGTTCCCAATCAGTGGGCGATGTGCTGGAAGAATCGTGACGCCGATTAAACAAGGTGATCTCGCAAGAGTACCTCCGAATTGTCGGTTAGGACTACAGGCCATGAGTGATTCGATTACATCGTTACGACAGGCTGCCGAATGGGGAATGGGATCTGTGGTCAAAGTGTACCGCCAATTAGATTTAAAATTGCCTTACGATCCAACGTTGCGCGGTCGCCGTTTACAGAACATTTTCCGTTTGTACAACTATCGGATGCGCCAGTCA